GTCAACTTGTAGGTAACGTTTGGTAACGTTTATATTTTTTTGTTTATATTTACAAAAATTTTATAAATTGGTATTTTGTTTATTTTTAGAAAAACATAAATTACAAACGCGTTTGGTTTGAACAAAATATTTAAAAACATAAACTAAAAAATATATTTGTTCAGTCCTAAAATATTTATATTTATATTTTATTATTTATGACAATGGGATCACACACATTATAATTGAAAAAAAATTTAATCGGAAAAAATATTAATTGAAAAAAAAAATTATGAAAAACAATTAATTGAAAAAAAATTAATTGAAAAAAAAATAATTAAAAAAAAGTTATTTGAAAAAAAATTAATTGAAAAAAAAATTTTTTAGTCAAAATTTTAAATTTCTGTTTAAAAACCAACGTAAACTCATTTTTTGAGTTTACGTTTTTTCCTAAAATTTATAAACTGAGACAACAATTATAAATCTAAAAAATTATCAAATAAGTTTTTATGATAGTTTTTAAAATTTTTATAAATATAAATTGAAAACGGAATGGTTACCCAACAGGCCCGTAATGTTTTATTTTTTAATAAAATATTAATTTTTTGCTAACAAAAAAAATATACACTTCAAAGGTGAAATATACAGTAATAGGAGGATTTGGGGCTCAAAAATTGTTTCCCCTCCCTTAACTGATACGCTTGATTTACAGATGATTATTCTTCTCTGAAATTGCTACTCTTTATTCCCAAAAAAGAACTAATCCCTTTCACTTGTTTGATCGGTTGGAGAAGGCATACGTAATCGGGGTTTTGGGGTGCTTCAATCTTATTTATTTTTTATATTATTTTAATAGTAAATTATTAATAGGTCTTAATAGTTTGAATTAATTTCTACCAAGTTCTATTGAAAATAAATCTTAGTAAAATCATAATTGAAAATAGTTTTTTGTGATAGTTTTTGTATATGTTGTTAAAAATTGACAATTAGTGACTTTTTTTTGTTATAGTTTTTATAAATTATCGCTAAAACTTACAATTAGTGACATTTTTCTCTGACGAATTTTTTAAATTGTCACTAAAAGTTGAAAATTAGTATTTTTTTGTACGATTTTTTAAACTATTGCTAAAACTTATAATTAATGACTTTTTTGTCACAAAATTTCTAAACTGTCTCTGAAAATTAGTAATTAGTGACTTTTTAATAGTGTTTGATAAAAAACACTATTAATTATCGTATGACATATTGAACAATAAGTCTAGACTGCCTCTTATTTTAAACAATTTGATACTAATTATCTTGCATTGAAGGAAATAAATGATTGGCATTTTTCTTTTTCCACTCTTCATAAAACCTTTTACTGAGGACAAGTTTGGGTACTTATTAAAATAGTTCTTTTTTTTTAAAAAAAGAGTCAATTTTGTACGTCTTTACTTAAAAAATTAAAACACTAATTAAAATAACTAATTCTCAATACAAAAATCATATAGTGGTTTAGTTAGTCTTAGTGCACTTCAAAGTCTAGACCTAATTCTTGACCATAATGTAATAAAAAAAAAAAAAATTGATTGTACTATGGTTTCATGATTATAAAAATAATTGTGGGTTTATTGAAGTAAATTACTTAAAATTTGGATTAATTTTTTCTTTTCAAATGCATTTGGGATGATTTCACAACTTGTAGAATAATGTTGGAATCAACAATGTTTTTGAATATGTCGTTGTTAAAGAATTTGTCCTCCCTTGACCAAGACCAATCCAATACACAGACCAATTGAAAGGTATGATGTGAACAAGCTCAAAAGGAAAAATGGGAAAATAGGTTATTGTGACTATCATCATCTCTCTAATTCCCCCAAACAGGTTCAACTATATATGTACATAGAATTTTCCATGTGTGAAAGATTGATGTTTAACTTTGTTCAATATTTGTGGGCGTAGACTCCTAATTGAATCTTTTTCTGTCCTATTTAACCTAACATGTGTTTTTGCAACCACATTATTTGGTCTTCGTAGAATAATTACAACTCTAGAGAGAGAGAGAGAGAGAGAGAGAGAGAGATAGATGTGGCTCTATATGTGGGGAAAGTATATGGCATGCCAGCTATGGAGAGGGCACGCAAGAGAAAGATGAGTCTGGGGAATCTTGTCGCATATGTTGGGGAATATTTTGTTTGACTGAGTTTTTAGAATTTATTTTTTAATTTTTTTTGTTAAAATTAGTTTAGTGAAATAAATGAAAAAATATAAAACATTCACTCACTCTCCTACAAGCTTCCAAAGACACCAAATTTGAAGACCAAATTTCTAGAAAATCTAGAAGACAAAATTATGGCAAAGATCATTCAAATAGATCATCTGGTTTCTGTGTTAGTTACTTGCCAACTTTTAATATTGTGCTTGCATATGATTGGGTGGTCCTATCATTGTCAACCTAGTTGGGATTGATTTGTTTCGTCATGATGTGTTTTGCACTCATTTTTTTTTTCTCCTTTATTGATAAAATATCCTTGTTCATCAATGAAGTTTCTTTCTTTTTGTTGATAAAAAAAAATCTATTATAGTGAAATTGAACCGTTCTTATTAAGGAAATTTCAAAAGCTAGCCAAAGAAACTTTACATTTTCTACTCACTACTCTTAATATGGTCTATGTACTTAACAACACCGTATATGAAGAACAAGAAAAATTCAAACCCAAAATTAAGATGAAATGAGAGAATAACATACGATTACATCTATAAGCGACACATTTTAAATTAGTTGTTAAATTCCACATTCAATGTATACTATTTATTTTTATTTTTTATTTTTATCAGCAATGTTCAATGTATATTATAGAAATTATTTCACGCTCCTAGGGCAATACCTCAATGTAGTCACACCATCACGTAGCCCACCTCTTAATCAGGTGCCCAGGTAACCATACGACTCCTGAGTGCCCGGCATGACCCAGCGAGTAGAACATAATAACAAATTATTATTATTCATATGAAAAGATTATGCTGAACAATAATTGATTCATTATCAAAGATTTTTATAAACACACTATAATTGAAACAAAGTTTTCATATGCGCAAGAGAAGCAATAAATAGTCCTACTTTGTTATTCATTGTGTTGAAATTATTATTTTAAATATCAGTCATTACGTATCATATTGGTCATTATCTAATGTAATTTTGACTTTCAATATCATTCTTTAGTGACATATCGATTGATTCTAATTGATACTATCTAATATCAGTCAATATATAACCATATCATTGATACTTATACATATTATAATATTGTTATTAAAATCACGATTATATATATATATATATTTTTCTTTCCCTCTTATCCACCCTCTCTCATTCTCTTTCCCACACACAGTAGAAAGACGCTTTTATAAAATAAAAAAATAAAATAAATTCATATAAACAATATGACATTGATATTTTTTAAATTATAAGTCAAAATAATAGCTATTGCAACTTGAAATGAAAGAACAACAGGAAAAAAAACATCACTTTGTGTTTATATAGTATTAACATGCTCCAAAATTAAAGAAAGAGCAATAATTAATACTCATAAAATTAAAAGTAACATGCTCATCCTTGAAAGTACTGTCAATCAACTTGAACACAAAACATGTGATTCTGGACAAACCCTAAAGTCATACACCAAGGATCCTCTAGAGTGAAATTTTTCTAAAGTTTCCTAGAGTGCTACATTGTGTGGTTGAGATTTACTGACAAGTCACATCAGAAAAATTGATGTGACTTGCCAGTAAATCTCAACCACACAGTGTAGCACTCTAGGAAACTTTAGGAAAAAATCACTCTAGAGGATCCTTGCTCAAAGTCATATACATAAGCATCTAAGGAGCATGTTAAAACAATGATGGTAGATGTTTGGCACGGCAAGATCAAGATGGTGCCCACAACTTTAACTGGTACATGTGAGCATCTATTTTGGTCCCACTAAGAGACACCAATTATTTTTTCAAAAATAGGCATGATTTGATTCCAACTGAGAATAATATTGGTTCATTGATAGATTTACTATGGTATTCTTTTTTTTTTTTACAAAAGAATCACAATATTGAAAAAAAATTCCGAGACTTAGTCCAGCCAATCAATTCACTATAAAGAATAAAATACAAGTTACGACTTAAGAATCAATTGTAACCGAGTCCACGACGTCTGACGTACTCCTATTGAATCCACGAGCTCTAATAGAGTCTCGGATGAAACCGTCCCTAGTTTTGTTGTAATTTTTGGAACCTTAGAGAATTGTGGAAGTTGCAGCACCTTCATTAGTCTTTCATCAGCAAGAAGTCATTATCTAGCAATTATTTTGTGTAATAATGATCGACTAGATTTCCATATTCATCATTATCCATCATGATAAAACTCTGAAATTTCCTTAAATCATTAATACTGAAGTTCTTTTCTTTTTTAACTAAGTCTAATTTACCAGAATTTTTGCAGATCACTAAGATGTCAAAGTTAAAAGTTTGGCCACCACTCCCTATTGTATTCTTCAAAGCACCAAAAAAAAAAAAACTATGTTATTTTTGTTATGAGAGTAATTCTGATATATTGAATTGAATAAAAAATACAATAGTAAAAGCCTGTATATATAGGATGATAAGAAACCTAGATAGGTACATAAGAAGATAGAGATACAATGAGATTGAGATAAGTATAACCTAGATAGGTACATAAGAAGATAGAGATACAATGAGATTGAGATAAGTATAGATAGAGATATATCTACAATATAAATAGAGATAAGTATAATAATATACAGCTAAGACCCCCCCTCAAGCTCAAGGTGGTAAGACAGATATCAACTTGAGCTTGGAGAGGAGATCAGAGAAACAGCCTTGAAGATGAGCTTTGGTGAAGAGGTTGGCAGTCTGATCAACAGAGGTAACAAGAGAAGACGAATAAGGCCACTAGTAATATGCTGGCGTATGAAATGGCAATCAATCTCAATATGCTTGGTGTGATCATGGAAGACATCATTATGTGCAATCTAAATAGCACTCTGATTGTCACAATAAAGATTGGTGGCAGCAGAATGAGAAACTCCTATGTCAGAAAGAAGCCAACGAAGCCATACAAGCTCTTGAGTAGTGTCAGCAAGAGCACGATACTTAGTCTCAGTACTAAAACGAGCAACAAGTTGCTTCTTGCTACGCCAGGAAATGAGAGTTGCCCAAGAAAAAACAGAACCTAGTAGTGGAACGACGGTCAGTAGGATCCTCGGCCCAATCGACATCAGAAAATGCATGCAGTTGTAGAGAAGAGTGGAAGGAGTAGTGAAGACCATGAAACAGAGTTCCTTTGAGATAGCGCAAAATGCGAACCAGAGCATCATAGTGTGGAGAACGAGGAGCAACCATGAACTAACTGACAATGTGAACATCATAAGCAATATCTGGACGAGTAACCGTGAGATAGACAAGACTGCCAACTAGTTAATGATATAAAGTGGCATCAGTTAGTAGGGAACCGTTAAGAGGGGTAAGACGAGTCTGAGGATCAACCGGAGTAGTGGCAGTCTTGCAATCGATAAGACCAGCCTGAGCCAAGAGATCAGAAGTATACCTGGCCTGGGTAAGAAAATAACCAGAGGAATCTTAGGAAATTTCCAAGCCAAGAAAGTAACTAAGCAAACCCAAATCTTTTATCTCAAATTGGCGATTGAGAAACTGTTTGAGACTAGAAAGACCCACTGTGTTATCTCCAGTGATAATTATATCATCCACATAGAGTAGAAGGAGAATAGTACCACGCTTCGTCTTACGTATAAACAAGGCAGAATCATGGGCACTGGAGGAAAAACCAAAGTCACGAATGGTGGAGCTGAACTTGGCAAACCAGGCACACAGAGCTTGTTTCAAACCATACAAAGCACGACGAAGTTTGCAAACTTTGTTTGATGGAACAGAAGAACCAGGAGGAGTTGCATATACACTTCTTCAGTGAGGTCACCATTGAGAAATGCATTCTTGACATCCATTTGAAAAAGATTCCAGTGGCGAGCAGCAACAACTGCAAGTAAGCTGCGAACTGAAGTAAGACGAGCAACAGGAGCAAATGTTTCCTCATAGTCAATCCCATATTCTTGAGTAAATTCCCAGGCTACAAGGCGAGCTTTGTAACGCTCAATGGAACCATCAGAATGAGTTTTGAGGTTGTAAACCCATTTGCAACTAACAGTACTCTTTCCAAGAGGAAGATCAACCACATCCCAGGTATGAGTTTTATCGAAAGCTTGCAGTTCATCAGCCATAGCTTATTGCCAAAGAGGGTTAGAACAAGCTTCTCGATAGGAAGTAGGTTCATGGGAGGAAAAGGCAGTGGAACCAACAATATAATCGCAGAGAAGAACAGAAGGTTGCCTTACCCATGTAGAGTGACGCTCTGGTGGAGGAAGAACCTCAATGGGAGGTGGAGATGGAGAAACCTCCACAAGAGCTGGAGAAGGCGTAGGACCATCAGCAGACACAGGATCTTTAGGATGGACGATAGGCATAGGCGACTGTAGAAGCATGGAGCTAGAATCTGTATCAAATTCATTAGAAAACAAGTCTATGGAAATATCTGTAAAGGTTGGTGAGCGAGGGGACTATGGTAGTTGAAACTTGGAAAGATTGGAGAACATTTTGTGTTCCCAGAAAATCACATGACGGGAAATACAAAGGCGCTTGGAGATAGGATCCCAACAATGATACCCTTTATGTTCTATACCATATCCCAGAAAACAGCAAAGACGAGAACGAGGTTCTAGTTTAGTGTGTTCATGAGGCTGGAGTAGAACAAAACAAGCAGAACCAAAAACTTTAGGAGTGGTATAGTCAGGAGGAGAACCATACAAGCGCTCATGACAGGTGTAGGGACAAGATTTATGGTGTAAATGGCAGTGAGGGTAGCTTCCCCTCAAAATTTTTCAGGACAAGAAGAGGAGATGAGAAGAGCCCGAGTAGTGTCGAGAATATGACGGTCTTCCGTTTGGCTTGACCATTTTGTTAGGATGTGCCTGCACAAGATCGATGAGATAGTGTACCATGAGCTCGAAGAAAAGAAAGAAAATCAGAATCCAAGTACTCCTTAGCATTATCAGAATGGAAAATCTTAATAGTACGAGAAAACTGAGTGCGAACCATGGCAGAGAAATCATAATAAATCTGCTTAAGTTCAGAGCGATTTTTGAGAAGAAAAAGCCAAGAATAGCGAGAAAAATCATCAGCAAAAATCACAAAGTATCTTGACCCCCCCATGGTTGGTGTGGGGGAAGGTCCCCAAATATTAGAATGTATAAGATCAAAAGGAACAGTAGAAATAGAAGTACTTTGATTAAAAGGTAAAGCAGGTTGTTTAGCAATTTGACAAGATAAACAATCGACATCTTCAAGACGGACACAACCTAACTGACCACTAGAAACCAAAGGTTTCAAATGACTAAAAGAGACATGTCCTAAGCGACAATGCCAAAGTTGAAAAGAAGGCATAGTAGATGCAGTAGCAGAGGAAGCAATGGAAGCAACAGTAGATGCTTTGTGTGGAATCCGAAGATGTAGAAGCTCGAACAGACGTCCATGCTTATGGCCTATCCCAAGGATCTGTCTCGTCTGAGGGTCCTGCACCAAACAACCATTAACAGAAAATGTAACGGTTAGACCAAGTTCACTTAACTGACCAACAGAGATAAGGTTCAATAGAAGAGTAGGAATGCGATAAGTATCCGAAAGAGACATAGTGGAAATAGCAATTGGGCCAATGTGACTAACAGACATATGAGAACCATCAGCAGTGTGTATAGGGGGAACAGAAGATGATGATGAGAAAGAAGAAAACATAGTGGAGTCAGAAGTCATATGATTATAGCATATGGAATCAAAATATCATGAAGAGTTACCTGAGGTCACTGAAAGAGCAGTAAAGGGGGGAGTACCAGATTTGGCGAGCACCTGGTTGATGATGGAATCAGTGGAGTGGTGAGTAGAAGAACCCTCAGAGGCAACAGCAGCAGAGCGAGAACCTTGGCCAGAATTGGACTGGTATCAGAGCTAGGTTAAAAACCTAGTAATTTCACTTCACCGGCGGGCGGCAGCCTCGTTTTGGTCGCCCGTCGGACCTCAACTTATTCCGCTGTCATGTTTTCCTTTCAGTATTGCTTCGTGGTGATCTTTGCCTCTATTCGTTGGTTTATTCCTATCCCAAATATCTTTACCATATATATATATATTTTTTGTTTTTTACTCGTAATACTTTTTTTTTTTTCCCTCCACTATCTCTTTTCCTCTGCTTCAATCTCAAATTGGTTTCTATCTTTAAACTTATTTGAGTTTGAGAGGGGGTATTATATCTATATCATGGTGAACACGATTATACACCATGCAAACCACCTACCCGCCTCCTTTGGCGCACAATCCAAGCCGTACTCTCTGGCGCATAACCCAAGCCGCCCCTCTTTGGCGCATAATCCAAGCCGTTTTCTCTGGCGTACCACCAAACTCGCCCCCTAGCACACCATCCAAGCCGTCTCTTAGCGCACTCAATCATCTATTGTCATCATCGTTCAGCAGTACGTCATAAGTTATGTGTGCGTCACGCTTGCTGGTTCAACATCCAGTCTATACAATGGTCCGGCATGACCCTGTAAACTATCCGAGCATTGATTCCGGTTAGCTCCTACATCGGTCCGGCATGACACCTTTAAACTGTCATGACATTGATTCTGGTTAGCTCTTACATCGGTTCGGCATGAGCCCTTAAAACTGTCTTGGCATTAGTTCCAGCTAGTTCCTACAATGGTCCGACACGACCATAAACTGTCTCTCGGCAATAATTTCAGCCTGTTTCTATATCGGTTCGGCACGATCTTAAATTGTCCTAGCATTAGTTTCAACCAATTCCTACAATGGTCCGACGCGACCATAAACTGTCTCCCGGCTTTAGTTCTGGCCTTTGATCTATTTCAAGCGCCTTTGCTCCCGTTCAGATTTTACAATCTATTTGCCTTTTATTTTATTCAGTTTTATTTCGTGTTTTAGTTTCTCTCTCCAAACTCAAGATGTCGGCTGATGAGGGCTGACGTCAGTGGCTGATGATGAAGGGAAACGGCTGAGGAAGCCGGGCAGAAGCCGAGGCAAGGGGCACGCGACTAGGAGAAGCCGGGCGGAAGCCGATGAGGATTCGGCTTATGCGGAAGCTGATAGCGACTGATGTGGAAGCTGACGACCAAGCCGAGTCGGATCGGTTGAGGCGGTAGCTGAGGGACCAAAGTCGAGGAAAGCTGGCTCTGGCTGAGACACCTACAGCAGTTTGCTGCGAGTGGAAGCGACGTCAATCGACACGTGTGGACGTCCCCGAACGCCCCAGGAGGGAATCCCCCCCGTTTTGTTCATATGGGCCTCACTACAGTTCGGACTCAAATGTCACGGTCCTGTATCTAATCTCGCAGAGTGCAACACAAGACCGATGGATCATTAAAGAGTCCAAATCTGACAAATCGTTTTTTGAAAACAGATTTTTTTGAAAGAAGTGCCAAACATGGATTGCTTTGCCAGATACAGAGTCGCCACCTAAATATTTTATATGTGAGAAATTTAAGAAACCCTGACTCGTTTGCCTAAGGCCACGTGTCCTCATCACCAAAGTTGCCTCGGCCGAGAACTTGGGTACGATTGGGAAAGGTCACTTCGTGAGCACCCCCGTTCGCCTGATCAAATATCGGCTCTACTAAAACATGATATCGAGTTTTGAAAACATATGTGCTCTTATTCCGGTTATTAGCCTAGATTTACTACGTGATGCACACAGCATACAAGTATAGACTGGATTCGCCTGAATTGAACAAACACATCTCATTTGTTTTGAAAATGGTTTGCTACTCGCAAGTAGGCTTAAAATGCAGATTTTGCCACCCTCGGTGGCTTAGAAAACATGATTTTGCCACTCTCAGGGGCTTAAAACTCACAGTCAATGCATTATTCCACATTCAGATAACCCAACCTTCACCCACAGGCATTCAGCAGGTATATCACATAAGCACATAGCTCATGGTAAGCATGGCTAGTCATGGCAGTCACTTACACGCATGCAAGGATGCTAAAGCATAAAACTTACCAGTACTTTCAAGCCAAAACAAAAGCTTGTTAGAAATCCATGCATGATCCTAACTATACAGAAATGCCTAATGCAACATATGCAAAATGCAACTATAGTAGGCTCGCTATTCTAAAGATGGCATGTGAAATGCTCATCTAACAAGTATCAACTCGGAATATGTAATACAAAGCAGTTAGTATGATGCGCGTAGCCCGGTGCATTGCAAGAAGATGACATGAATGGCGAACCATGCGAGCATAAGTATGCTAATTGAAACATCCCTAATCTAACCATCATAAAAGCTGATAAATAAAAGGGAGAAAGACGTGGGGTTGGAAGACATACATCACACACACGCACACTTATTACAATTTGCCCTCGCTCGGAGGATCTGAAAGAATATTACAAACTATCTAGCCAATCTAAGCTAAATAACAAATGTACGGCTAATTATTACACAACAATTAATAATCCAACAAAATTAAAACTAAGTAAGTAATAAACTAGCAATGCAAACTAAATACAATGGACTGCCTCAACTCTGTTATCGGATGCGAAGGGTTATGCATGCTCGAGTCGCCTTGTCGGTAAATTCCATCACGATGTCCTCGCCTTGCCTTGTTTGCAATGATCTCAAAAACTTGCACAAAGCTCCAAAAGGCTGAAACTCCACCTTTGGAAGGCTGACCAAACACAGATATTGCTTGGGAAACACTGCGACCACCCTCATGTGAAACCAAAAAAATGTCTGCCTGCCAAAAAAATTGGCTCGGCGGACCACTTTTCTGCCCCTGATTCTCGTTTTTCTACAACAAAGGCAAGAGGGAGAGAAAGCAAGGTATTTCAACATATGGTGCAAGACCACTCTCCCGTCGCCTTGCACAAGCTCAAGGGAGTAGACTCGATCCTCGTGCCACCAATCATGCATCTCATGTATGATGGCCGAGAAGTCGGAATGCACGACTCAATGAATGAAGCAAGTAAAAACACAACAAGCCTAAACTCCATCATGGATAATTCGAGCGTCGGCGACCGGAAATCGAGACGTTTCGTCACTTGAGTACAAAACGTCCTCCTTCCCGTGTTGGACTAAACCCTACTCCAAACAACAATGCAATCATGCAGATATAGCATGAATGCAATTCTAACATGCAATCCTAGATGTTTAATTGCCACTGA